ATTGATTATATAAACTTTATAAATTTTATAAATTAATTCATTGCTTGTTATCAAACTTTGGCTGGAGAAGCAGAACGCACATTTTAGAGTACTCTCCTTTGCCTTTAAAGAAGTCATAAAGTACTTACACTTCATAACTTATTTGGGGTTTTTTTGTACATGACCTGACTTCCTCCTCTTATTACAATATCTCTCGTTCCTTTCGCACCTTTTTCTGAGCATCTCCTGTTTACTTGGTTGAATTAGACCGTCTTTTTTTCTCCTGACTTTTCCGGTGTTTTGCTTTGAAAGTCTGTTTTACATGGTACCCCTCCCATTGTTTACATGTGTGTGGGCAGAGGAGCCAGACTAAGGGGTGGCTGCTGTCAGACAGGGTAATAGAAATGAAATCTTCACTTACCTACTCATCTGGGAGAGCTAATGAGTCTTTTCTCATGGCTGGCACTCCTTGGTGTTTCAGATATGGGCTAAGCAAGGAAAATAAAATGTTGATGAGACCTATAGTGGCATGAGTATTGCCTTGAAAATGAGTCACCACTCAGCTCAGGTTGTAATGTATCTGTAAAACATGAGAGTTAAATAAGAATGTGGATTACTTTCCTGCGTTACAGGCTCTAACTTTCCTCCCTCTTTCTCATTCAGCTATAGGGTAAGATTTTTCCATCCTCTTTCTGGAAGACTTCAGAAAGACTAAAAGGATTAAAAAATGAGTGAGATTCTCACCTTCTCTGTAGCATCTTTAACAAGCCATAAGATCATGCAAATACTCAAGGACTATGCCAGTAGTGCAGGCAGGACCCAAATGCCCATGACCTTTCCCAAAACACTATTTGTCGTGGGCAGAGAAGCACCTCGCAGACCTGTGGCATTCAACAAGGATGTTTTGGGACTGTAGGCAGAGGGAGATCTAGGAAGGATCAGTGGGAACCTGGTTTTGTAGCTCTTTGGCCAAAGCAGCCATGGATGGCTAGGGATAGGAAGTTACACTTCTCTGAGATTTGGGTTAAATATGCACAATATTTTCACACAAGTGTACCTATTGCAAGATAGACAACATCTTTTTCTGGTTACCATTGGTCTGGAACTGGTTTAAACAAAGCCCGAAAAAAAAACATTCCTGGAATGAGTGTTCATATGGGGAACCCTGTTTATAAAGGCAAAGCAATTTAGCTACAATGGCATAAATATCTTCCTTAATTTCAGAAATAGTGTCCTTTGTGTCAGATACCTTCCCTTGCCATTTTAGCAGGAGCCACTAGACACCCTCCATCTGGACAGTCACAAAGCTGAGCTGTAGGATTTGGCTGTTTTGTTCCTACTATCACACAATCTACAAGTAGAGATTTTATTCTCAAACTGTGAATTCAACTTATTAAATCACTCACAGGTAAGATATGCAAAGGGGGGGAAATGAAAAGATTTTTAACATCTTTATTCTGCATACACTAAAAAAAAAGATGAAGGTTATGCAGAACAGTGGTAGGTTCCCCATGAACTTCCTATCAGACTCCCTGCCTTCTCATATGTGACCAAACTCTATTTTTAATAAACTTGTTATTATAGTTCAGAGTCTCTGCCAAGTGTTTACGGTGTTGCCCTAAGTAACAAGTCTGAGCCAAGGGACTTAATTAAATGTAACCTGCTTTTTCAGTTATAGAATAGTCCTTAAACATCAAAAGGCAAGTGGACTTTGTTAATAAAATCTGAAATCACTCTTTGTTTAAGAGTTCTTTACTCCTCACTGTATACAATCAGTTACTTCTTAGAAGGCATATAGCATTTTCACAGATAATTTCCCACAAGCATTTACAGATTTTATGACAAGTAACACTGGTTTTATGTGAGAATCTCAGATTTCATACTTTCTTGCTGAGCTGATTCATAGATCCCAGCTTGCAGGGAAGAATGTAAAATATTAAAGAAAAATGTTTATAAAGGATGCCCTTTTGGATCTCACAATTTTTTAATGTCCTTACAATTTTAGAGGCTTACATTTCCATTTTGGAGCACTTAGTTCTGCATATATGGCATTTTTTTTTACAATTATCTAGGAGGAGGTTCTACCTATGAGGCCTTCTGCTAACCACAAAGTTAGTTTGGTGAAGGTGCTAAAGAGCCATCTGAAAGTCTCGGATTGACAAATGCAGGTGACATGGCTGCTGCCTCCTGGGACAGAGATGCACACCTGCTAAGTGAAACTGGACTGGGGCTTTCATTCACAGCAGCTTGCAGTCCAGTGTATTAAGATGAGGTCATTGCAGCTTATGTTGATGTGTGGGGCTAGAAACTAGAGTGGTCAGACCTGGCAGATGGACCTGAACCCCCTGCTGAGGTCCGGCCTGACCCTCTGACAGGAGAAGGGGTGGCTGCTGTGCTGACAGTCTCGCCTCCATTGGTGCAGGAAGAGCAGGCAGCTGCAGCCTGTGCTGCTGCTGCACCACATCAACCTGTGCCATCCTGCCTTCAGAGGGCAAGGCAGCACAGAGCAGGTGCTTTCCCAGGTAAGAAAGGTTTAATGCCCTTCTCCTCTCTCTAAGCGGAAGTTATAAATTCCCTGTGCCCACAGTGTTAATCATTTACATCCTAAACCCAGACTGACTCTGAGACCAAGGCTGTGCGGGTCGAATGCAACCACCTGGCAGGCCTGGAGATGTCAGGTGCATGGGCTGCACCCTCAGCCACTATGACAGTGGAGCTGGGCAGCTCTTGCATGAGGATAGCAAGGAGGGTGAAGGCAGTAATTAATTCCAGGAAAATATGCAAGAACAATGAATCACAGCTGCAACATCACACCCCAGGTGGGGCTGGCAGTGAGGAGTTGCAGCAGAAATGGTGTGGTCAACAGGACCAGGGCAGTGACCATCTTCCTGTATTTGCTACTGCTGTGGCTGCACCTGGAATCCTGTTCAGTTTTGTGGCCTTCACTGTAAGAAAGACATTGAGGTGCTGGAGTGTATCCAGAGAAGGGCAATGGAGCTGGTGAAGGGTCTGGAGCACAAGTTGTATGAGGAGCGGCTGAGGGAGCTGGGGGTATTTATCCTGGAGAAAAGGCAACTCAGAGGAGATCTCATTGCTCTCTACAACTACTTGGAAGGAGGTTATAGCCAGGTGGGGGTCATTCTCTTTTCACAAGTAGCAAGTGATAGGACAAGAGGAAATACTCTCAAGCTGTTCCAGGGGAGGTTTAGATTGGATATTAGGAAAAAAGTCTTTATTGAAAGGGTGGTCAAGCATGGGAACAGGGCACCCAGAGAAGTGGTGGAGTCTGCTGCTGAAGATTGCAGACTGGTTCATTATTCCTCATTCATTTACCTTCCCCTCATGTTATACTGCTTTCTCCAGCTGGCATGTTGACCAGAGCAAATGGCCACTGAGAGGTCTCACGAGCAGGCCAGTGCAGACTGGGACAGGCTCTCTAGAGAGCTCATGACACTCCAGCTCCTGGAGGGTGCCCACACACAAGGGGACAAAGCCTCAGCTGTCCCCATGTGGCACTGGCAGTAGTCCTGCTTCGAGCTGCAGCGAGGATTGGGGACCTCCAGCCACCTCTTGCAGACTATTTCACTGATGCTGTGAAGTCATTTGCCTATTTTTCCCACAGCCACACTGGCTCAGTTTCCAGCTCCACCTCTAAATGTGGTACTGATGCATTCAGCCCACTCAGACAACTCCTGGAACAGGTCTTCCCAGTGCAAAATGAAGTCAAAGCACAGCACTGTGATTTCTGCAGATCTATCTGAGTTGAGACGCTTTTTCTTTTTCACAAGCAGTTTTTTCTGCTCCTTGCAGTCAGGTTTATAAACTCTTCGTCATGGCATCCATCTGTCCTTATACCTATGCAAAACTTTCCAGTTTGGGTATATAAGCAGCTGAAGAGTGCTCCACTGTTAGAGACCACATTTTAGGATAGCTGACTGCTGCATGTTATAGTGGTGATGAATCCCTATTAGATGTTAAAGGGATGACTTTGCCTCCTTACCATCTCCATCTGATTTTGAGTAGTAATAGAGAAATCACCAGAGCAGGCTGTGGGAAGAGCACTGCATTCCTGAGCTGGGCGAAACAACTGGTTGTGTGGAATAAGTGTTTGCTTGGGATCACAAAAACACTTCCAACTTGAAAGAGCCACAATTTCTAGATCCCAGTTTGTTTATATTTAACTTTGTAGATCTCGGCTTGTGTGTTCTGCTAGTCTAACTCTTGATGCTATACTGGTCTGACTAGATCGTGTCAAAGTTTGCTGTTTACATTATACAGTCGTCATGGTTTGAAAACAGGCACGTAAGTACAAATAGTGGTACATTGTAATGAAACGCCTCATATGCAAAGGAAATGTTCATGCTGTTCACCAGGTTTGTAGAGAACAGCTCTTAGTGACACTGCAGAACCTTGGTAACGATTACTGTCCAAGTTTGATGAAAAAAGGTGTAAATGAAGACATCCAATGTGAAAATTCACCTCAAAGGAAATCTGACAGCCCAGACGGACTAGCGAGAGCAAGCTAAATCAGTATGCAAGTATAAATGTTTTTAGTGTATAATGGCACTGATTTAATCCCCACGAGGAGAGCCCCTCTGCTGCTCATACTTTCATTCTTCCATCGCTGCCGTGGCTGCATGACAATTATTCTAGGGTTGACCCTTCTCCAGTCCCCAGGCACGGCAGGACACACGCTCGGCGTTGTTCGCAGCCCCCCGGGACCGCGCAGGAGCCGCTCTGTGTGCGGGGTCCCCGACCGAGGGGGCGGCCGGCGCGCAGGCGATGTGGGGGCGCGGCCTCCGCCGTTGCGGGGAGCAAGGGGCGGCGGGCGGGGCGATGCCCGCGGGGGGCACTGCCGGACCCCCTCCCCGCTCCGCCCCGCGCCAGCGCTCCGGCGCTCCCGGCCGGCCGGGCGGAGGGAGGCGCGCCGGGAGCAGAGGGAGGGACGCGGGGCGGGGCGCAGCCGGCGCGGAGAGGGGCCGCCCCCCCGCCCGCTCCGCTCCGCTCCGCGCCCGCCGTCGGTGCCGGTGGAGGCGGCGGTTGCGGTGGCGGCGCCGCCGGCTCTCGCCGCCCCCTTCACCCCCGGCCCCGCGTCCCCATGGCCGGGCAGGAGTGGGACTGGTTCCAGCGCGAGGAGCTCATCGGGCACATCAGCGACATCCGAGTGCAGAACCTCCAAGGTAAACCAACACCCCCGCAGAAACCCCTCCCTCCGCCCCCGCGCCGCCCCGCTCACCTGCCCCGGCTGCTCCCCGCGCCGCTCCTGCCTCCCCCGCCCGGCCCCCGGGCCGCTCTGCTCGGGCTCCCCCGGCTCCGCGGAGCGGGGGCGGCGCGGGCGCGGGGCCGGAGGAGGAGGTCGGCGGGGCCAAAGTTTCCCCCGAGCGCGGCGCCGGCCCGTCCGGGCGCGGGGAGCCCCGGCGCTGGGGCGAGCGGCGCCGGGCCGGGGGCAGGGACGGGGCGCGGGGGTTCCGCGGGCGCTGGAGATGCTGCGGCGGCGGGGGCGGCTCAGCCCCTGTTCCCCTCGGGCGGCGCTGCCACCCACAGCCGCCCCCGAGCGCCGTCGGGGACGGGGCTGCAGGCTCCAGCTCGGCTCGGGTCGCTCCTGGCCGGGGGGACCTGTCCGGCCGGGCGGTGCGGGGCTCACAGTGCCGCTGTGGGTAACGGGAGCCTCTGTGCCGGGTCCCTGCGGGGCCGGGCAGAGGCGCCCTCCCGCCGCCCCGACCTGGAGATCCGGGGTCACTCGGCCACGATCAGGGCATGGCTCCGGGTCTGGACCAGCGCGATTTGAGCGGAAGCAGATGGCTATCAGAGGACTCGATTTAATGTATCTTCTGAAAAGCTGCTGTTGAATAAACATGGACAGAGCTTTTGGATAAATCGTCTACGAGATGCTCTTCTGCCACAGGCTTTGCAGGCGGAAGGGATGCAAATACCTGGGTCTGAAGGTAGATCGGTGTCAGCGTAGTAGTAGTTCCTCCAAAGTTATGTTTGCCTCTCACTAGGTAACTCGTCGTGATTGTCAAGGACAGCAAGAATCGATGGAAGAGGAAAAAGCAGCAGTGGTTTATGGGAGAACAATTTGTTTAATGTAACATACCAATCTTAATCTATATCTCACATAACACTGCAATGTATCTTTATGTTCCATAAAAATAATAGACTTAAATCAGAGGTCATTATCTCTTCTTGTCTATGCATAATTATATTAAGGCACTGTCTACTGTCAGAGCAGTGCAGTTGCTGGAAATTAGTTTTGGTTTGGATTGATTATAGAAGATGTATAATTTATCAGAAGAGAGTCAAATTAGCCATTCTTTGAGCTCTGATGTTGTATTAATGCCGTTAGCTGCTGATAAGGTCACTCCACAGCATTTTGACCTGCATCATTATAACCTCTGAAATTCAGATTTTGAGTACAGCAAGAGCTGTTTATTCCAGGTTGATCTCCCCTTGGATTTTGACAGTCTCTCATTACAGTGTAATTCTACATTTCTGACTCTTGGCTCAGTCTCTTTCTATTCTGTGTTGTTAGCATGGCTGATCTCTTGTTGCTCAAAACTGTAGCAGATTTAATCATTAATTCATGGACGTTTTTTGAAAAGGAATACAAAAGTAATCTGTTTTTAAAAAGAGTAATAGGTTTTTGGCTTTGCCTCTCAGTCATGTGTAGAAGAAGGAGTTAAAAGTAATTTCACTTTCTGGAACTTAGAACTCATTTATACAGATGCACACAGCCTTATCGAAAATTCCTGTAGTCCTGTAGGAGAATGTCATCCTACAGAGCAAATTCCTTTGAATGACATTATGTTCATGAAAAAACCCTCCTGTTCCCTTCTTACCATACAAGAGGAATTCTGAGAGATATATGAGTTGCACTGCTAAGTAGGGTTTTAAGAAGTTTTATGCCTCATGTGAGCTCTTACAGGGGAGAAAAAGCACTTGTTCTAAGGTGCTGCTCCAAAGCAAGTGATAATATCTGTCACAAAATGTATGATTTGTAACACATAGTTCTCACATTATCTTCTAGAGATGAAAAACATTTTACAGATGGTGAGTCTGATACTCGTGAGAGTGTGATTTTTGTCGCTTGGGAGCTTGGTGGAAGAGCATGGTGCTTCTCTTCAGAACAGTTTCTTGTAAAATGGCAGCATATGCTCCATGCTCGTATGTAGTAATTAAACTTGCTCCTGCTTTATAATTAAAAATTCATTCCCTCCTCTCAAAACAATGCAATCCGAATCACTGCTAGTATCATTCCCTATCAGTTGCAGAATCAATAACAGCCTGGATGTGCTAAAAAGTCAAGAGTCTGGGATGAAAAACTAGGTGAACACAATGCAGTTTCCATCAGCACCGTCAGAGCTCCTGCAGGGCCCTGCTTCCCAGGGCCACACGAAGGACCTCATGCAATGAGGGTCCTCATCTGCTGCTGCATCTCCAGCTCCTGCAGTGCTCTCTTGCATGACCAGCTGTGCTTAGAGTAGGTGCTATGAAGTGGATGGTTTGTCTTATTCCAGAATGCTCCCATTCAGTGGGACATTCTGCATATGTGAAGGTGCTTCCTGGTCTCTGGGGAACCCATTATATTGATATAGACCCAGGAGGAGTAAGGAGAGGATGGGAGGCAACAGCTAAATATTTGCAGATATGAACAACACATGAAAACACTGAATGTCTGTGCGTAGCTATGGAGACTTCTGCTGCTGATGCACAGAGCCAGACAAATGTGAGGTCTGCAAGGCAGATAGAGGCAGTACAGTCCTAGCCATCCTACCCAGCAGGATGGAAGAGCCCAAATGGTGATGACCACGAGAAAGGGTCCTGAGCAGCCTAGCTGGTATTAAAGTTTCTGCAGGAATCATACAGCGATCTGCTGTAGTAGTTTTCCATAACCTTTCTACCTCCTTTTTTAAAAGCAAAACCTGCTCATTTCTTTTGAACAGTTCTTCATTATGCCTTAGCTAAGCTATAGAGCACTGCTGATGTAGAATACTATTTGAAGATGGCATATGCTGTTTCAGTCTGTTGCATCTTCCTTCTCTAGTTTGGTAGTTCCACATCCAGGAAGGATCCAAGGTGCTGGTTACTGGGAAGTGTCTGCTCTTCTGGAGATGCTTTTGCAGTGGCATGATCCCACCAAATTGAGAAGTTGTTCTAGGTGCATGTGCCGGGTGCAAAAGTAGCCTCAGGGACTGTATGTTTTGTCATGTAACTAATGAGTGAAATTATGGCCTGTGTAGGTTTTTCAGTTTTTTCACAGTGAGACTAAAACTGTCAGCAAGGGGTGAAATTTACTAAATGGGCTGGACATGGTGGGGGGAAAGATGATTTTAAAAATGGAATTACATCTGGATATTTAGACACAGGTGCATAATGGTGGGCTTCTATTTTCCCTTTCCATCAAGATATGAGATTTTCCATTTTATTTTTTAAATAAAGGAAGTGACATTTCAAAACTGTCGCAGGTAACTGATGCTAAAAACCAGTCGCATCCCTTCTCGGCAGAGGCGATTTCAGAGAACAGAAGCAGAAGCAACAATCTAATGGAGAAGGGGGAGAGGAATGTAAAGAGGGAAGAAATGCCAGGTGTGGTGATGCACAAACCAAGTTCCTCTCTCCAGGTCTGTTCGGTTTCTAAACACGTTCAATAAACTGATCCTCTTGTGCTCTTTGTTCTGTTTGTACATTCTCCATAGTGAATTTCTCCACATACTGAGAGAGAAAAATGGAAAGCCTGCGCAGAATGTAGGAGCGCATCATCAAGCAGTGGAATGCTCAATAATTAATTTCCTGCCAGGAGATGGGGTTTTTTTCTCTCTCTCTTTCTTTCATTACAACACCAGTGGGAACATTTTGTTACAACACAAGAATATTTTAAAATCTTCCCTATTGGAAGCTTGATTTAGGATCTTCAGAAATATACTTCCTTATGTGGCAAATTGCAGTCGCTAGAAAGAGGCAACATCCTCAGCAGGAATTAATCTCTTTTAGATGATATTTTGGTTGTGTGCTTTGCAATAGTTTGAATGTATGTTGAGTAGTACATATCTTTCCTTACATTCCTTGGAATGAAACATGTGGAGATGAATAATTGTGCAGTCAGAAGTTTTGTTCACCTCTGGCAAACAAGTGTTGTTACCACCATTTAAAAATAATTATGGTTTGAATGTTCATGTTGTATATTTACAATAGAGCAGATGGGCTGAGATGGTAGAACTCTACCATTCTGCTATCAGAAGACTAGACAAAGTCCTGCTACTTGTCATTTCACTACTCACTCAGAGTTTGATCCAGAAACCACAGAAACTCCTAGATGTTTATTCCTTGATTTCTGTAGATTTAAATACTTTTCTGAGTCTCAGCCTTGCTCTGCTGAGGGATGCATGGCCTTCAAATGTATCTGGAGGGCTACGCAGGAGCGTATTGTAGTGTTGTCAGAAATAATGGGGAAAAAATGATGACAGACTTGAAGAAATAACCTAAACAATACCAGCCCCATTGGTTCCCCATCCTTTTCATGGTTTGTAGGTTTATGGGAAACCATAGTTTATGGGTGGATCACTTAGTCGTAAACTACTGGCACTCTGATTTTGCTTGACTTCCTGTTTGGATCCCTATGATCTAGACTTTATAAGCTTTGGCAGCAGTAAATGTAGTTGTCATCAATATGAATCTCAGCTTCCTTTGAGGTAACAGGTTCTGAATGAAGCCTGTGTCCTAGGAGGTAATACAAATGCTTAACTCATAAAAGTTTACTCTGGCAGTGGGAGTAACCTCCTGTCTTTGCTCTGGGGGTCTTAGGCATCTCTGATGGACTACCAAAGGCAGGTGCTATAGTCAGTCTTGAAAATGTTTCTCTCTGTATTTTTCTTTTTCATTTATGTATGACTTTTACACTTAACTACAGAGAGTAATAATTTTCTTTTAATTACGAGATACAGCAGCATTCAACTTGTTTGCTATAGTTTGACATGCTTTTAAAATACATGGAAGTTTTACAAATCGAAGGAAACTTTTTTAATGTATCCATTCTGACAAAAGTAACATGCTGTAACTGTTCATTACTTTAACTCTTCTAAAACTTGTCACCATATTCAGCAGGATTTCATTCTGCCTGTAGGCATGCTTATTTAGTGGAGTTCTTTGTAGATTTAGGTGACATTTGGAAGGATGAAATTGC